ATTATTATATTCTTCAGTAACAATTTTATCTATGCGATAATACTTTGAAAATAATTTAATTTACATAAAAATCTAGCTATAATAGTTTGATTAAAACTTTGACATCAGTCTATTAGCAGCAGTTAATAACTGTATATCATTTTGATGTTTGCAAAAATGCTTAAATTTTGACGAAGTAAATGCAGCATTTCTTATATAAAATTTTCCTTGCAACCTGAATCTGAAAAAATTGTTTTAAACAATAAGCAACAGGAATTGCACTTTCAGAAGAAAATGTCGTCCATATAAAAGGGTAACATGATCTATAATAATATGAATACACCTTTTAGAATTAAACCAGGAACGGTATCAATAAATAATAATTCAAAAGGTTTGCTTACAGATAGTGATTGCATTAAACCAAATTCATTTCCTTCTTTTCTTTTATTAAACTGACATATCTCACAGTGTTTACAATAATTTCTGCTATCTTGCACTATACCTGCAGTATAATATTAAGGTAACAACAAATTTATCATTGAGTATACACCAGTATGACTAAACTCAGTATGAGGTGTTTCAAATAATTCATGGGAAGGGATAAAACGTGTGAGAAGTATTACAGTATTATATAGTCCCTGTTTTTTATAATTAAAATATTATTAATTTACTTCTACTTAGGGATACAAAATGCATCCAGATTTTAATATCTTCTATTTCTTTTAATGATAATAAATTAGCTTGTGCACACAAATGTTGCCAAATAGGATTTCTTGCTAACATCTCACTTCAAAATTACCAGAAGTTTTCTTATATTTTACATCAAAATCATGCATAGATCATTTTAAAACCATCGAAATAATCAACATGTACGATATTTTACATTCTCAAGCCAAATACTAAAATATCAAAATCAGTATGTACAGAAAAATGGCTTCAAAGCAAATAGTAATAAAACTTATCTGTAACATCTACAATTGCTAGATATTCAAATTCAGTAGTTGCATAGCTTCATGTGTAAGGTCTTAGGCTTTGAGAATGGAAAGCTTTAGGATGAAATTTACCATCTGGGTGGTCTTATATTAAACCTGCACCAACAGTTTCTTTATATATACAGTAAAATACGTTTAATGCGAAAACGCTTAAGACGAAATATCGTTTAACACGAAATCCGACAAACTACTATGTAATCTCATGCATTTTTTTCTTTTAACACGAAACGAAAATCCCTTTAACACGAAAAGATTTTTCTTTATGGGAATGAACAAAATGCGAAAACCACCAGCCTTGCCGGCGAGATTTGAGAGATGTGAAATGCAAGATAGCGGGTTTCGCATGTTTCATAGAAAGCTAACTTGGTTTGAAATACCCTCGGAATAGACTGTGACACGAGCCAATTTTGTTTATCTAAGCTACTTTCACTCTCCAACCCTAAAACGCCGTAGAAAAACATCTCATCTCTCATCATATTCAATGACATCGTAGTGTGTGTAAAAATTAGTGAGTTTGGTTCGTCTCAAAAGAAATAGAGGATAATGAAATGTTTAAGAAAGTTTCTGTATTATTGGACTGTCCTACTGTATCATCGGAAAAATTCGTTGCAGTAGATGATGATAATGTATGTAAAGTCCCAATTATGGCAGGCAAAGCCATTTTGGAGTTTGTCCAAAGCTCAAAAAATATGCGCACTTATTTAGACGCACATTCCAATTGTGGAATAAATAGCAAAATGGATGATATCGAACAAGTTTGCAATTTTGATGCTAAAAGACAGCAGAAAAATATCAGATTATTTTGCAAAATTTCAGTAAATGCTTTGTTTTTCAAAACACTTTATATTAAATTAAGATCTTGTGGATGTTTTTGGTTCATTGATTTTTATTAAATACATGCATATATACATATCTGTGTAAATAAAATACATTCTAATTAACTTAATTTTGTTGAATCTTTAACTTAATTTTGTTGAATCTTTAACTTAATTTTGTCAATATATTTTAACATGAAATTCTTTTAACACGAAAAAGTATTTCAGTCCCCTCAGTTTCCTGTTAAACGATTTTCACTGTATCTACAAATAACATGATAGTGATAATTAGGATTAAAATGTACGTAAATTTGTTAGAGGGGCTCTAATTTTTCCCTAATTTGGCATAAACTTATGATACACGTTAATACTTCTAAGAAATCTTTGTAATTCTTCGACATTTTGGACGGGGGGCTGCAATTTTTTAATTACTTCAGTTTTCACATTGCTTGTTTGACATTTGAACTTAATATCCTAGAAAATTTATGTTTTCTTCAGCAAAGTGATAGTTTGAATGTCTGAATTTTATATTTTCTTTGTTACGTACATCAAATATCACTTTAAGATGTTCTAAATGTTCTTCAAAATTTTGGGAGAATACTATGATGTCATCAAAATAAGTAAGAGAAAACTGAATTTTATATTTATTTAAAATTTGTGTAAGACCTCTTTAAAAACAGCTGGGGTATTATACCAGTTTCATGGTAAGTTGTTGAATTCATAAAGACCAAAATTTGTTGCAAAAGCTAAATTTCCAGTATCTTTTCCATTCTGTTTTATACGCCAGTAACCAGATGCCAGATCAAATACAGAAATAAATTTGCATTTGTTAATTGGTTTAGTATTGCATCTGTTCTAGGTATGGCTTCGGAATAATCGTTTTAGTAATTTGGTTAAGTTTCAATCAATACAAAATCTAGTTTCAGCATTTTCATCTCTTTTGCATGCTTAAGTTACAGACGTAGCGTAAGGGTTAGATGAAAAGGTATCGTAAGAGCTAAATATTGTGAATTTGGATATCCCTGTGGTTATGGACAAACATTTCTTCAGACCGGAATTTGAGGTAGATTGATAAGGATGATCTTGGAGCATTATATTTTGGATAATGAAAATACGGATGAGGGTTCTGCATAGGAAAAGCAAATCGGGGTATATTATTGGCGTCTTTTGTTGCTGAGACAAACATGAAGTTAGAAATAAGATTTGTGCTAGGAAAATCCAGTTTTGAAACCAACTTATATTTTGAATAGACAGTAATATACAATATTGCTGTGGTAATATTTGTATATAAAGGCTGAATAAGAAAACAAATGAAATAGTTTCTGAACTATAAGAGTAAATTAAAAATGTTTACTTTAATAAATTCCATTCCTCAATTTCAATATATTCGCGAATGTAAAACGACAAGGACTCCCCCTTTTAAAAAATCTAGGAATATAGTTAATTTATATTTTTTAGAATTTCTTTTTTTGTTTTTGTAGTAAACCGTTTTTCAGACTCCACAAGCCATTTTGTAACAGGTCAAATACAGGACCTTTGTAGAATCAAATACAGGATCAGACGTTTTTGGACCTTTAAGCATCCATTTGATGAAGAATTAATGATTTCCGTATTAATAATGATGACAAAAATAATTTAAACTTATAAAAATACCAACACGAAGAGTTAAAAAACTGCAAAATAACATCAAAGATACTTACAAAACCTCTAAATTCAAAACCATTCAAAGGAAAAATTGAACCATTTTGCTGTCACTTCTTGAGCAATACTTTTCTCTGTTCGAAAAAAAAACAATCAAATTTCGAGAAAGTTTAACTAAACACAGATGTAGTACCTATCATAATTTTCATTCTTGTATTTTTGAAAACACATATATATATATAATCACAATATATATATGTGTGTGGTGTATAACACAATATATATGTGTGTGTGTGAGTGTATAAAAGGAAAGCTGAAAATTATTTGCATTGTGCCCTTTAAAACACCTCTTTGCTTACTTAGATTTACTGAAAAATATCGCGGTTTTATTTTATTTTTGATTGATTATTATCTTCATTCATATTTAGAGAGTTTCAATATACTGGATTAATTTTGAACATATTTTATTTATTAAGGTTAATCTGTTAAGTAATTTATTTATAAAATATCTTAAGTTATAGATTATAAATGAAACAAATAATTATTAATCATTTCAAAACTTTACTGAAGTTTTATTTAATCGAAATAAATTTATAAATAATTCCATAGTATCATAAGATAAAAATTTTCTTACGTATTAATATGTAATGAACGCATCTTGGAATCTAAGAAAAGTCTCAAACTAGTGGAATATCAATCTAACATTTTTAACAGGAAGGAATGGCATGAAAATTTTCAGAGCTATTAACTTAGTTATTACGAAGTACACTAAAGTTATTTTCCCAAAGTCCCCTATATACTATGAATCTACAAACACGAATTACGAATCCCTACAAATTACATTGCAAACTACGAAAACCCCATGTAGCTTGGAAAATCCCCTGCAAACTGCGAAAACCTCATGTAGCTAACACTATAAGGTATTTCTCCCACCTTCTTGGCATGCCTTCGTGGTGTGGGGGTCTGCACGCTGGACGCCTATTACAGACGTCCGTGGTTCGATTCCTGTTCTCCTGTTTCAAAAACAACCTATGTCTCTAGAGTGGCACCCGAACTAAAAGGGGTTGTGGATGATGATTCTCCTCAGCCAGTATTTGGTGATTGGGTCCCCTAAAAACCTGTCTCCCTTTAAAAAAGGGGGAGTATATAAAGTATTTTTCCCTCTTTCTTGGCATGCCTTCGTGGTGTGGTGTCTGCAGGCTGGGCGCGTATTCCAGAGGTCTGTGTTTCGATTCCCGGCGAAGGCGTTGCACATTTTTCCTCTTTTCTACTTCCAAAAAAATCCTAATTTTTCTACATCTTCAACTTATTTAAATTAAAGGACACTGCAAATGTTTCTGTAATTTAGCCACCCGATCACTATTAAGTCTTACAACTGCCTTGAACGAAATTCCAGGATGTAGTGCATTACAGATATACCTGAGGTTTACGGAAATGCATTTATAAACTTGATTATTTTGTAGGTTGTGTTGCCCAATGGATAGTATGAGCATCCTAACAAAAAAGTATCCATTCATGATTTCAGCAGTATACGTATTATAAGCGCATGTATATAATTTTTATTATTTTCCAGGATTGGATGACAAACCATCTGACGTAGATAACATGCCATATACTACCCTGTTGTACGCAAATGGGCCGGGATACAATCATAATTTTCCCAATGGTAGGGAAAATCTCACATCTACTAACACGGGTAAGTTTATGATGCATTATTAATCTCAGATTTCAGAAAAATAATATTTTTAATAAGCACTCTATTTGTCTGCCACATAAATATTATATTTTAGTTTTTTTTTTTTTTTTTTTTTTTTTTTTTTTTTTTTTTTTAGGATAAAGAATTTACTAGAAAGAGTTTATACTATAATGTACCGCATGAATAATAGCAGTTATTAAATTATAGATGTATAAAGTTTAGTTCGGTTTCAGAAAATAAACTCTTTTAAGAAACATTTCATAAGAAAATATATTGCCTCTGACTGTTGATCATTCTAAGTCACCATACAGATGCCATTCAGATGTGCATGATTTCAGTTGTTAATATATTATATAAACAATTTTTATTACCAACCAATAGTGTACAGAATTTTTTCAAAATTAATGTACTCTTCTATGAAATTATTTTAGACTGACTACGTTATAACTGAAAAAGATTTCATTAATATTGAAGGGAAAGCAAACAAAATTCATTTTAATCAAAATTTTACTTTTTATGCTGTGAAAGACATAAGAAGAATTTAAATATTGTTGTCTTAAATTTACGACTCGAAATCGAATATGGATCAAAATAATCAACCCCAAATTTAGTAACTTTATTTTTGAAATTAATAAAACGCAGAATTACAACTTGTAACACTTATTTTGAAATCTTAACTGATCGCTTTTAATGTATACTTTATTCTGTCCATCTGATTTCGAGAATAACATTCCAGAAACTAATTAGTTAACTCGAAGAAAAGGTTAAAAACATATACGCATACTAGGCATTAACGACAAATGATAAATTTCTAGTTAGTTAGGATTGAATTGATTTATTTCTATGTCTCTTTCTGTGCTATATCCTCATCACCGATTAAAGATGATTGATTCGTCATTAATTGGAGTTTTTAGTATTGCGTGGTTTGGGTAGTAAGTGGTAGATACTGAATTAGTAATACTTAGATAAATGTTAGGCAATGTAATAAATACTTCATGTGCTGGTATCTAAAGTTAAAATTTTGAATTAGAATTTAAGTTGTGTACTTTACCTGGCAGAAAGATATTTTGTTAATTATGACACTGGGTAATACACTTATATATATACACTTATATATATTGGGTAATACACTTACATATATTAATTTGCGTTTCACTTATACATATTATGATGGTAAGAGCATTTAGAAACACAGTTTTAAATCAGAAGTTTATCAAGTTGTAGGGATTTATATTTATTTTAACTAATAAGTTAAAACTTAATTTAGAAAACTTTCCTATAAGCCTTCATTCCCCTAATTTTCAGTGCCAGAATAGTTAAATTTTGTAGCGTGCGTGAAGGAATGCAAATTTCTACTTTGCAGGAAGCATTTAAAAGCCGAGTTTCGGTAGGAGAAAGGAGATAGTTAACCTACAGCCGCCAGCTCTGCCGTAGATACGTTTGCTTATTGCTGGTTCACGGAGCTTAATTGCATTTACTTGCTGCCACTGGCTTCGAAGGGGGTTTAAGTTATGGGATCTCGCTGAGACCTGTAGTCTAACTCTATCGTTTATTAATATCTTCAAATTTTAGTTTCGTTACCTGATTTTCAGTTACAGCCCAAGCAGAGGCGAAGTTTGTTAGCGTCCAGTTGACGCAGCAAATTGTCAAGGATTTAATAAAGGGTACTTTAACTCTTCTCTTGTGTAGTTTCCTGTTACTCCAGTTTTCATACAGAAGTTTATCTACTGGACTCTGCAAAGTAATATATTAACAGAAGAGAAACCTGTTTAGGATTTACTTACAAAGGTTAAATGTCATTTCTTTTTATTACACGAGCGATACCAAAAATATATTTAATTCCACATTGTGTTCAATCTAGCATAACTATTATTGCTGTCTCCAGAATAAAAAGTCAGCGGCTTTATTTCTTGGTTTAGATCATGCATACTTCTGGGCGAAATTCCAGTGCCAGGAACTATTTTTTTATTTATTCAAATGTACGGCCATTGACCATCAGGTCATTAGGCAACGAGCTCTCCAATACTTCTTTTCAATACAGTCCAGTGCAGAGCACACGTCCAGGTGAGCAACGTCCATGACCTGTTCAGAATCACACAAATCACATAAAGGTGGAGCAGATTAAACGAAAGAAAATGAGTACGAAAGCAGTCATTTCCAATCAACAATCTAAACTCAGAGATAGCAGTAGCACGACAGGAGTCCGATAGACTTTTATGACCGTAACTTAAAAATCAAGGCATTTCTATAGAAATATTTTATCAATAGTCCACCACTTGGAGATTTTTATTTGCATTTGATTTTTATCAAATCAATACACTTTTAATGGGTAAGGAATTATGCTGTTAATGGGTATATAAATACTAAAACATAGTGACTCATTTCCAGTAACCCAGTGAGTACTAATTTATTATTATTATTATTAATATTACCGCTTTTGATAACATAGCATATAAATGCGGTAGGAAGTTTAACTTCGATTTCCAACGGCAAGAATAAGTATTAAGACCTTTTAGGCAACAAAAATAGAGCTAAATTTTAATATTCATGCATACTTCTGGATATCAAATAAATGATAAAGCAGATTTAGTTAATACCTTAACTTTGCACTTCAGACTTTCCATTCACAAAAATAGCTTATATGCTATGCATTTTATTCCCAGCAATTTTTCTTGAATCCAAAATACATTCCTATTAATCTCTGGAAAAACTCAAGTATATTTCAGGTCTTTATTATATTCCATTAAAGTAGCACGTAATGGGGGGGGGGGGGGCGGAATGATGATAATTTTCTTCTTCATTTCTATTTAGTTAGGTTTTTTCTCCATGATTTGGAATATTTGTATAGTTTAATATGTTAATGTTAACAAGCTGGTTTTATTTTCTGACCTTGTTACTAATTATTTGCTTTTCTTTCCCCTCAGAGGATAAGAACTACGTCCAGCAAAGCGCCGTTCCTCGGAGATGGGATTCACATGGTGGTGAAGATGTGCCTGTGTATGCTCATGGACCGATGGCCCATTTATTCCGAGGCGTCTTTGAGCAAACTTACGTTCCCCATGCCCTTGCTTTTGCATCCTGTATTGGTCCTCAGAGGGATGACTGCCAAAGAAGAAGGCAGTCGTACCATAGGCAGCTTATCGAATGCCCCTCCCCCCATACAGTTGAAGAGGGGACAAACTCATTCGATAATGCAGGCTATCAGATCGTACCTGTGTGGTACATGTTATATTGTTGTTGTCTTGCCTTCATCTTTGGAATCAAAAGGACATGAATAGAGGGACGTTGTTTCAGTATTCTGTGTATAGCGCCTTAGGCGTTTTGGAGTTTTTGTAAAGTATTGTACATTACAATGGTTTATTTCAGATGGTACCTTTTGTTTGAATTTTTGGAGTTGGAATCATAAGTTTAGATTAGAAGAAAGATAAAATAGAGTGGCTTAAAGCATTTTTAATTCTAATGCAAAGTAATCCATTGTATTTCTATTTTCTATTTTTACAACTGAACTTATTGGAAGCATATTATTTCTTCATTTCTTATACAGGTTCGTAAATTAATATAGAGCAATTTTTATAAAAATTTGAAAACTAGAAATAACATAGAATGTACATCATGTAGCAATCCTAATGTAAAATAGGTGTCTGAAATCTTACAATTGAAAACTTGCGTTTGAAAATGTGCCAAAAGAAAGAGGATTAAAAAATAAATATATAATAAAAATGTAAGCAAAATTATTTTTTGGAACTCTAAAGTAAGTGATAATATCAGCTTTAAGCAAGCCAGAAACAAATTTTTCCACCATTGCACATTATTTGCAACCTTATGGCGTATATAAATAAGTGTACATTGTTTGTAATTACCTGGTATACATTCGTTAAATGCATTATTATAATAATCTGGTACTGCCCAAATTATAAGTATTTTTTTTTTCATTTTAAATACCTGCTAAAAATACAGATGATACATTTCGAGAAAAATAAATTATGATGAATTTTCTTACGTATGCTTTAAAAGTATACGAAAGTACTTTATATAAATTGCTTAATTATCATATTCCTGAAATCTGTTTTACTGCATCGTGGACCCTCGAATTTCGAATAAAATCTTATCCATGAAAAGATTCCATTTTAAAGATATTTGACTTAAAATCTCGTTAGAGCAAATATAAAAATTGACTTTGCTTCAAATCTGCGAAACTTTGTTATTCATGGATTTTAACTTTGTTTAAAAAACCAAAACAGTGACAAACAATAGCAAAAAGTTTGTTTAATTTCAATAATTGAATGCATTTACAGACTCAACAGCTATATTACCGTTCAAAGGTAATTTGAAATGTGATTTCTATTTCAATAGTGGATAATCAAACTTCAGAAGATTATTATTGATCGGTTATTGTGTGAAATATTACATACAGCTCAACTAAGGGCCAGAAGTTGAGTTGCTTGCTGAGGGCTGCTGTTGAGGACTTTTTGTGCATTTAAAATAAATGGAATGTTAATGTAAAATTGGAATGAAAAAACCAAGTTAAACAAAAAACAAAACAAGGTAAAAACAAGTACTCCTGTTCACAGCTGTAAACCTGAGTTGCAGCTTCTCTACAACGCTATCTTAGACTAATATTTGAATCAAAATTTCTTCATTATTTGCAGTATGGATTCCTTTACTTTCCTTCACCATTTTCTCTTGTTCCTGGCAAAAAATTACTGAAAGACTTCAAACTCTTCAACTCTTTCTTACTGTTATTCGCTGAAGTTTCTGCGGTTTTTTTTTTTTTTTTTTTTTTTTTTTTTTTTTTAATAACAGCTTAGTGTTGCAATCTTTAAACTCCTCAATATTCTCATTGTTCATCTGCAGGCCAGACAATAGATTCAGATATACAAATTAATTTTCCTTAACTCAGACCATTTATATTTATTTCGACTTATCCATTGGTAATGATATTTTACTACTAATGATTTTTACTTCTTTTGCCAAATTAGTTGTAATGGCCTTCCTTGTCTGTAAGTCAATACGCTTCTTTTTGTCTATACGTATGAACTGAGCAACAAGGAATTAGGGATTCGATACACTGAGCAACAAAGTCTAATAAATGTGTATTATTTTCCCATTTAATTCTTTGATAATAATGAATGCGTTCTAAGCAAAACCCTTACAAGTGAGAATTTTAAATATGTTATAAAAATAATCCAAATAGCATTTATATAAAACATAAATTGAATCTGGAAGGTAGGTAATTAGCTCAATAACTGGCAGAAAAAGAACTATCTAAGAACCCAAGTATATGATGCAGCAAGAAGAAAGTCATTTTTTATATAATTTTCAAATTTGTGTTTGACTATCAAAACGAAATTTCTTTAAAGAGTTTATTCGAATTTCAAATTTGTTCTGAAATTAAACCGGTAGAAATTTGAGGGTCAACTATAAATATCGTTTAAAGCTCTGTACAGGAACTCTTCAAAAATATGTTCTTTTAAAGAAATCTTTAAAAACAAATTGCATTTTTTTTAAAATTTTCATATTTTATCTTTTTAATTATTACAAACAGTGGAGTGGGAATTTACTGAAAAAAATAATTTTTATTTGAAGTAGAAATATCAAGTGCACAAGCAAATTTAACAAATTAGATGTTTCGCGTACAAACATTATTCATACAAATTTATAAATATTGTATATGAAATGAAAAATGGAAGTTATTTATCATTTCATTTGCACGTACCTTAATTATACCTGAATAACTTTCATACCTTTCCTTTACATTAACCTGTTACTTATAAATATACCTTTTTTATGATTTTATAAAACTCTTTAAAAAATAAGATTTTCTTCTTAAATATTTATCGCAATTTAAACATATTTTTACAAAGATTACGCATTGCATTCATTATTGCTATTTTGACAATATTCTAAACATATAAATTCACGTCATTTTAATAATCTACACTTTACTTATTGTTATTATTGCATAACATTAAATTAGTGTTGTTATAAATGTTCTTATTATGCTTAGTGTTATTCAGAAATTGAATGCTGAATAGTTGATAACATTTGTTGTATGATAGGCTTCGCTTTTAATATTTGTTCTTGTCGCTGTCAGTCGTAAGTTGTACATATTTTACTATGAATTCTCATTTTTTAATAATACCACATATTGTATTGGTCGTAATGAAAAATTTATCTTAGAAACATGGAATAACGAGTTTCTAGTAAAATCAGTTATTTATGCTTTTTTAGGTTTAGTCATTTCATCAGTTATTTATGCTTTTTTATTTTTTTAGTTTCAGTCTTTTGTTACTTATAGTTTATTATTTTTTAACTAACAAAATTCAATAACATACATTGTAAGTTTACTTATGGAATTTTATAAAACATGGATTTATCTCATCACTGATCTAGGTTTATGTTACTGAAAATATCAAAGAAAGATATGGTATTATTTTTGGCTACAGAATAAATTGCCTGTCTGACGTTCATTATGTTGACTGAAAGTTAAGCCTACAATCTTATTTTCGTCTGAATTGGAATGCATTTTTTATGTTCATTTAGAAAGTTTGAATATTAGAAAGAATTATTTAGAATGAAAATTACATAAATGGTTAAAATTTCTCTTGTACTCCTATCATTATGTGTGTTTGTACTTCTATCATAATGTGTGTATACAACTTTGTCTGTTATTTATTGTAACAAGCTTATAATAATTATTTATAATTATTAAATAATTATTTGTTATTATTAAATACCGCGGTGATATTTACAAGAAAATATAAATTTCAAAGCTTTATCTTATAATATATCAAATTTAATACTCGTAATGCTATCTTTAAGGTTTGAGTTTGATTTTCTTTACTATTGATTTTCTTTACTAGTATCTTTACTTGATATTTAACAATTATCCCTTTTCACGATAAAAATCTTTTAGTGTAGTTATTTATTATTATTACAAATGCCGTTATTAAAACTGGCCTTTGCGCACAAATTACATTAATTACTAATAGCATAAAATGGAATACTATTATCTTTAAAGAAAGCAAAATACAAATGCACAAACTTAAAGTACACTTATTTTTTTTCTATAACTTATGATGGATCAGACATATTCAGTGAAAACTCTCTGAGACGACCGGTCCCGTTTGCTATTCTTCTACGGGAGTAGTCGCATTAGAGAACAAGCTTATCAACAATGTTAATTATTAGTTTGCATGTTAGTTTATCCTTCTGTAGAATTTTAGCATCTGTTAAAGAAAAATATTGAAATAAGTACTACAAATACATCTTATTATAAATTTTGCTTAGCAATTTTAAGAATACATACTGCTTTTTAAAATATTTGTACATTGAAGTCTACATATTCTATTTTGCCTTTTAGTATACCACATCCTCATTTTAAAGCAGTTTAAACCTAACTAAGTAAATCAATCATTATACTTTTTTACTTACAAAAAATCTAATTATCTTCTTTATAAAACGTAAAGCTTCAGTAAAAGAACAGATGTACTAGTTTATTTTTCTACCATATTTTGACTTACTTTTGTTGGAATTCCTACCGCCAGTTTAGAAGTAAATACGCTGGCATATGCATTTCAAGAATGATTTTCTTTATCACCTTTTATTTACAGCTTTTCATCGTATTCTTAGATATTTGTTTATTCTATATTAGCACTTCTTCGTCTTTCATGTTTGTATTAAATCTAGCTATACGGCTCCATTTCTCATATTACTAAAATACCTTCATTCATGCTTTCATCTTTAAGCTACTATGATATTCTCAAACATCTGCTTATAGACTTCGTTAAAGTGAATATTTGTTGCCATCTTATGAAATAGGAATTAGTCCTTTTAAAAACTGATATTATTGATATTTTGCTATATTCTCAAATATACTTGTGTCTCTGTAGGTAGCTTTACGGAAGCAGTCGCTTGTGAGAGGTTTTCTTATATACTGCGCAAAAAAAAGGGACAGTTCTCTACCTTCTGTTCTACTGGACCAAATGACGAAATTCAATTTGCGTTCTTCATGTCGCGAAAGCGCGACTTAGGATAAGTATTAGATTTATATATGCGTTGTTCTAATATAGGTATCTTGACATAAAATCGGACTTTTTCTGAAATGACATGCCAATATTTTTCCATATTTCGATTATACGACTCAAATTATATCACACTGCCAAGTTTTGTAAAAATCGCACGATTAGTTTTTAAAAAATTAGCTGCTCAATGCTAATTGAATTTCGTATATATTTATTAATATTTCCTTTTTTATTAAACTTATTTGATTCTTCCTTTCATATTTCGAAATTTAGGTTCATTCCAGATAATATTCGCGCATTTTTTACGATTTATTTTTAAAATTTTTATTTTTAAATAATTTTTATAATTTTTTCGAAAAATATTTTGAATTATAGCCAATAACATTTTTGCCATCATCTTAAAATAGATGTATTTCCAAGGATAACTACAAAAAATTAGAGTTTTTTTTATTCAAAATTTCCTAGGATATACGTGAATTTATATCTTGGTGCGTTTTGAAATTTGGCGTATTTATTACAAGCGATAATAACGAAACTGTGATTTATGCACTCTGTTAAAATTATTTGAAAGTATGAACGATGACTTTTTTCAGCTCGTCTACAGAGAAAAAAAGAAAAGGAAAATAGGTTGCTATAAATTAAAAAGTTCGCCAAGTAAATTATTCTTGGCGAATCCTTAAAAAGATACGCCAAGATAAATTTTTGAA